AAGAGGAGGAGGAGAAAGGGGGTCTCATTTAAGGTCCTGCTAAGACAAAGGAAAACAGCAGGTTCTCACTCCTGAAATGATTCTTCCTTTCACATTAACTCAAAGTGGAAAAAGAACATCACTCACAACGTTGAATATGGATACTGCTGCCAATCTCAGTTCTGATGGAGACTTGGCCAGGTAACCATTTATCTGAGTTATCTAATCCTAAATTATATTCCCTTCCAAATAAATGTGGACATTAAGAATGTTTTAATGCTTTAATTTTCATAATGAGTATTTTATAATATTTTGAATCTGAAAGTTGAAGTACCCATTTCGCCCTGCACTCCCCAACCCTGTTCTCTGTTGGGAAGCTCAATCAGTCAAATATTGAGTTCCTACAGTATGGTTGTGCTTTTTTTCAGAAAAGCTCTCTTCGTTTGAGCATTATGTTGTCAAAAACATCTCAGTACTTAGGAAAAAATTGCCCCACAAATTAATAAAGGCATTCTTTGTCAACCATCTGGCAGGTCGTTAGATGAATGATTTTCTTCTCTTTTCCCAGTCTAATGATTCCAGCACAGCCCACTACCAGATGTCTTGTGTTTCTGAACAAATGACGATAAGTGGTTTTGGACTAGCCACAAATTTATAAACACTGAAAACTCGGAGCTCTATCAAAAATATAATGTATTTTATACATTATATATTGTGGGATTCTGAATCCAATGTACACTACTTAATTTCCTCCCAAATGTTATGGATATTTTCCATTCCCCAGGATGATTCCAAAGATAAAGGGAAATGGTACATTCAGAAATTAACAAGCAATAAATGGTCATTCTGTCTGTTTTGTTATAGCAATTTTCAAATCAAGAATTATATATAAATTATGCAAATTTATGAGAATTCAACATTATGATGAGATGTGCCCGATGTGTGTTTTGAAGATTGTCCAAAGGGTCTCTATGGCTGTGTCTGTCTCCTTTTCATTAAGCAATCCCCTTTCCCTCCTGTTGTCTATTTGTCACGACAGATTCTGTTGTTGTCCATAGAGCTCCTGTCGTTTTTCTCCCCTTATGCCTGGTTACCTGCCTCTGAAGGGTAAAAGACACTCTCACAGTGTCACCCACGGAAGCCCATAGAGCCGCCTGGGGTAGCACAGTGACCCCTCTCCAAAGCTACTTTCTACATTTTTCCCTTCAATACCTGTGGCTTTCTTGAATAATTTAGTAAAAAAATAAATTAAATCTATTTTCTCATAGTTAGAAATTAACTCTTACTCAGTGACATAAAGAATTTCTCACCAAACTGTACATGTTCCTGGTTGTGGGTCTAATGTTTTGCCCCGCCTTCACACCCTCACATGATGGATAATGTGCCCCACCTCCTGGGCCGAAAGGCAGCAGGGAGGACCACCTACCACTGGATCAGTACTCACAGATAAGGACTCTACAGGAGTACCTCAGTACGACTCGGGTGTTTACTGCCTTTTTTTTTCTTTTTGACAACTTTATGGAAGTATAATTGATATGTAATACACTTCACGCACTTCGAGTATACCATTCAATGTCTTGAAATATTTACGTAACCAAAAAGCCAATAACTCATCCAAGACAATGAACTTACATGTCCACCACCCCATAAGCTTCTTTGTTCTTTTTTGGTAATCTTTTTAGTCTTAAATTCTTCTTTCAGTCAGATTGCCACAAAATTGACAGTCTAGAAATAGCACTTGATTATATCAGGCCAGTGTGGTTACCTTAGTGAAATTTCAGCAACTCTATTCTCTTTCAGCACTAATTAGGGATCATTTAGTCCCTGAAATATTGCATTTTACTTTTATTCCCTCCACAATCAATCCTATGAATAGCTTCTCACAGAATAAGGAGTGATAACACAACCTATAGTAAAAACTCTTAGTCTTGTGTGTGTATTATATTATGACTTGCAGTTTAATATTTTTGTGAGATTCCTGAGTATGTGAATGAGTGGGGTCTCTGACTCTTGTGCCTTCTTTTGGGTTCTTTTTCTTCTGTTTATCTTGTCCAACTCTGATGTCATAGTTTTTGTTTTATCTTATTGTATTTTGTTGTCTTTTACTACTAGCCCTTAGGAGGCTGTTTGTTTTCTAATGAGAGACAGAATGGGAGTGGATCTGGATGGGAGGGGAGGTGGAGAGGAACTGGAAGGATTAGAAGGGAAGGATATTATAATCAGGTTATATTGTGTGAGCAAAAATCTATTTTCAGCAAAAGGAAAAGAAATCCTGAGTCTTAGCATGGCTTAGTAGACTCTTTAAAATTAAAGATACCTTATAAAATACCCACCCACAGGCATTTACTATGCTTTCACTGTGACATTGAAGAGCAAGAAGGCACCAATTTTATAAATATTTAAAGAAACATGAGGTCCTAGAAAATCAGGCCTTTTACTTAATAAGTCATAAAATGAATCAATAAGTATGTAATTCATATCAACACCACAGGACAAACTCCATTTTTTGAGCATGTCCTGTCTTGAAGATCATCCTTAAAAACAAACAAACCAACCAAACATAAAAACCTTCTTGGCCATTATATATTAAAACTGTAATGTGATAGATCATCTAGTTAGAGTCTGAAAACTTTATATCCTAGGAACAAATTTGTTGGAAACAAGTATTTTATGATTGTCGTTCTAAAGGAGAAGGCTCTTGCCAGAAGGTCTTACCAAGAAAGCATCATGTTGGCATGACTCAGCAAGC